AAGGTAACATTCCAATAGACAATGCAAAGCTTTTTTTTTTCAGTTTACTGCAGTATTTATTACACAAAATTTAAGTAAAGCTTAACATGCCGATCTTGCCCCGATCTCCCCTACATTAGTTCTTATATGTGCTGGTGGATAGGATCCTCTTAGACATAAATATGGTGGGTGCTTAAATTTCCCTGACCATAAATTTGTTTACACAATTACATTCTCCCAGCCTTATTTTACATTTAACTTCAGCTTGCTTTGGCTTCTGGAAAAAAACTCTAATTGTCAGTGATATCAAATGGAAATACCTATGTTTAATGTATGCTTTAGACATTGTAGTTATATGATTAGTACTCCATTATGCATAGTTGTTGTTACTTGATCTTGATTAGCCACACACAATCATTTAATCTGACAAGGATTTGAACATAGGGTTTCTAGAAAATTACTGATAGACCCATGTATAAAATAATGCCACTTAAAATTTTAAGCTTTGTTTCTATTTGTACTGAGTTTAAAAATTTTTTTCAGTTATAATAACCGTACTTACCGAATTGAGGATATTGATTGGAACAAAGATCCAACTCATACTTTTGAAATGAAAAATGAGATTAATAAATTTTTAATACATTAAAAAAGTATCAACATTATAGTATTTTGAAATAAAAATTTTTTTTTGTTATTTGCAGTAGAGTTATTAATGATGTGAGACCTAACACATATATAAGTGCAATGCGCTCAATATATACTCGTAATCCAGAACTCCAGATAATTGTTGCTTTAGTACCAAATAATAGTAAAGACAGATATGATGCTATTAAGAAATTAGGTTGTGTAGATCTTGGAGGTAAGGAATTTGATTTCTTAAATGAAACTACTTATTTAAATATTACAATTAATTTACATATTTATTTTTTAGTTCCTACACAAGTAATTGTTGCAAGAACTTTATCAAAAAAACAGATGTTGATGTCTGTTGCAACAAAAATAGGAATACAGCTTAATTGTAAATTAGGAGGAGAAGCTTGGGCAGTTGCCATACCGGTAAGGCAAATTTTTTCTACAAAGTGACAATCTAAAATTTTAATTTAAAGATATAACATAATTTAATATGTAAAGTAGTTTACATTAATTTTGGTGTCAAAAAACAATATTAAATTTTTGAAAAAATTTCAGTTGTCTGCTCCACTGATGGTGATTGGATTTGATACATACCATGACTCTAGTCGCAAGGGTCATTCTGTTGGTGGATTTGTAGCCAGTTTGAATAAATCTTTGACTAAATGGTATTCCCAGGTTTCTTTTCATCAGACTGGAGGTTGGCAAGAGTTGTCCGATACTATGAGTGTTCATATGACAAGTAAGTTTTAATTTGTATCGTTAACAAAAAAAAAATTAACTTGTGAAAAGTAAATAAATTTCTTGTTTCTTCAACACATAATACATACATGATTTCAAATGATTGCTATTACAAAATATCATTTTAATCACTATGTTGCCAAAAATTAAAATTAAATGTGCTTAATTTTCTATTATTTTCAGTTTAGTATTTAAATAAATTTAAGAGTGTCAGCTAAGTATCCTTAAATTATTGAAATTATAAAATGAGATGGAATTTATGAAATACAGTAGAACCTCGATTATCCGGATCGCTATTATCCGGATTGTTCAAAATAAACAAAAATTTTACGAATTTGCTGATTTGCACTTGGCGAATTACGACACTGTTTATGTACGTGATGGAATGCATAACAATTTTTGTTTCAACAACGTCTCACCCAGCACAGTGGTCGTAAACTCTTAAATATATTTTGCGTCGTAATAAAAATATAACTTGACATACGTATTTATAAATAATTTATATTCAAATTACATCATTTCTATGACCAAGGGCGGCGTAAGGCTTAGACAACGTGGACCACCGCCTATGCCTTGCGTTGCAAAGGGCCTCATGCCTCGAAGGTTTATGCATTACTTAAAAGCCGCGAACGCGACGAAAAAGTTTTACCCGTCATAAAAGGATAGTTTGTCAAATTTTTATTCATAAAAATGCAGTTGAAACTGCTTTTTATTTTATAAAAGCCGTCTTCTTGCGTCACCAGAGGACCTTTAAACAATATGTAGTCTGTTAGCGCTGGTCAGTAGTAGTCCAAATTCAATAAACATTTGTTTCTTGAAAATTTGATCACGATTTAAATACAGTATTTATTTTTAACATTATCGATATGTCATCGAAAAGAAAACATGTATTATCATTAAAAGACAAATTAAAGTATTTGTTTCGTTATCCGGACTTCCTTCATCCCTAATTAGTCCGGATAATCGAGGTTCTACTGTAATTTGTTTCAATTCAAAGAAATTAGTTTCACAAAACCTTTTACTCTTTTTCTAGCAGTTTTTTAATCCATAAAAGAACAAACATTTTCGGCCCTTTTAAAAAGCCTTCTTCGTGTTCTATAACATTGGAACGTCAGTTAACAACGTTCCAATGTTATAGAACCTGAAAAAGGCCATTTAAAATGGCCGAAAATGTTTGTTCTCTTATGGATTAAGAAACTGCTAGAGAAAGAATGAAATGTTTTGTGAAACTTATTTAAAGAAGTTCTAGCTTTCCGTGCATGGAATTAATTCAAATAATTATTAAAATACAAAATTTAATTGTATTTTCAATTGCAAATATTTCCGGAAAGCTTAAATATTTGTTGTATTGTTGCTGCTGTTCTAATAATGATAATTAAAATAGTTTTTATTAAATACAATTGATTATATTTCTTATTGCCAACAGGAGCTCTGCAACATTTCCACAAATGCAATAGAACATTGCCACAAATTATACTGTTCTACAGAGATGGTTTTTCAGATGGTCAAATAAGATATGTTCTGGATCATGAATTGCAGCAGATACAAAGTGTATTGTCTAAAACTTACAGTTCGCAGTAAGTAGTGTAAATTTTAAAATACTTGTAGCATATAGTTTTCTTTAAAGATACTTATTGAATTAGTAAATTTTAAATTATGATGGGTGAAGTATTAAGATAAAAAATTTAATAAGATTAATAGAGGAAATGTAGTAGTTAAAATTAAAAATATGTAATTGCTTTTCTAAGTTTTTAAGCCATAATTACTAATATTTGATTTCATAAAGGAAATATTTATTAGAAATCTTGTTTTTTTTAAACCAAACTTATTGTTTACAATAATTCTTGATGTACTATTATAGCTGATTTCAAAAGTAAAAGAAATATATTATACTTGAATCAATTAAAATTTTTCAATTTTAGAGTGCGTTTTGCCTTTGTCATCGTAAACAAGCGCATTTCAACCCGCTTCTTCAAAACACACAACAATAGCTTTGCAAATCCTCCTCCTGGAACAGTTGTTGATTCTGAAGTAACACGACCAGGAAGGTAAGAACAAATAAAATGTTGCTTTAAAAATTAAATTGAATTGTATGTAAATTTGTAGTATGAATTATTATTATAATTTTGATTTTTCCTCCCCCTTTCACTCTCAAGCATTTGTGCTTACTGATCAACTGTTATAGTTAGGAGTAAGCTTTATGGTAAAGATTTGTTAAATGAGTACAGCAGTGAATGAAATAAAGATGCAGATTATAAACAAAGCTCTTCCTTTCCAAATATCATGACTAACCTAAAATATTTCATATGAATACATCGATATTATCTAGTTATATACAGTGCTAAATTTTTTTGTCAAGAATGATGGATTATATGATGATTACTAAAATTAGTTATGGGCAAAGCTTAGTGTGTTTAAAATTGCAAGATATATATGTTACTGTGAAAGACCGAAATTAGAGAATGTTGATATTCTCCGGTGAATGTCGACACATACAAAATACGTCGGTGAAAGACCGAATATTTGGTTATATTATTATACATTCGAGCAATCGCCGGTGTATGTCGACAAGCACAGATAAGCTTTGGTGGAGGTCGAAACGACACCTGAGAAACCGATGTCGACGGAGAGGCGACAGTCTGTCGTCAAATTCTTCGCCATTTCCTTCTGCTCAGATTGGTGATACTGTTCTAATACAAGTCCCTGATGTCGACCATGGCCGTACAGATGCTCGAAATGTGTTGGCGGTTGTTGTTGGAATAGAAGACTCCGACTTTTATAAATTAGCAAACAAAAATAGCACCCTCAAGCAGCTTTTTTCTTGTAATAAGTTCGTAATTTGTAAAGAAAAGTTACTTTCCATAGATGAGGTTTCTTCTCAAGAAATATCACTGGAGAAGCAGCTGCAGCTAATTCAAAAGTGGAGGGCGAGGCTATACACGCTGTCATTGCAAAAAGAAGTGTTCCACGAATAAATGCAGTTGTAAAAGCAAGGGACTCTCGTGCAATTCAAAGTGCCATAACAGTTTAAGTTGTTGCAATAATTAAGATTGTACAACGTTAATCACATAATTTATGTGTAAGTTTATTATTGTATTATTTTCTTTAATGATTTAGAATGTGCTGTTTGTTTTAGGTTCAACAGTTTATTTACATGCGCTGTTACTTAAGCTTTTTTTTCTATTTTGACATATTAAAAAGTTGCATTTTTGTCTTAACGTAATAAAAATATTTTTATTCAACACTTGCCATCAGTGCACGCTGAATGTCGACATTTGCCAGTGTAAGTGAGAAATAATGATATTTAGCAAATATTTCGTACATACACGAAACGACTGTGTGAATGCTGACATTCACCGGAGAATGTTGACATTCGCCAGATATCGGTCATTCACAGTAACATATATATATACTGTATTGTACGTACATATGCATGTAAAACTGTCAGATACATGCACATTAAAATGCATGAAATTGTGTATTAAAAGTTCCAGTGATATATACTAAAATTTATATGTTAAGAGTGAATGTATACCAGGGTTTTAATTTTAATAGTAGCTAGTCTGAAATTACAATCTGCACAAAAGAGATACATGTTTTTGATTTTACTGTCATTTAATTTTAGTCACCAGCAATTTGTAAGACCTGTTGCCAGCAATGTGGAAGTTATAGGATGCCATTGGCAGAGCCTGTTTGGTTGATTTCTCAAAAAGAGTGAGCTACTGCCTGAAGAATATCTGGTATAGTTTTAACTGTCTTCCATGCAGTGGTTCTATTATCTTAGAGATTAAGTCAGACACAGGGGCTTAAGTCTGGAGAGTATTGTGAATGATAGAAAACTTTGTGCTATGTACTTGAGTGTTGTCATGCAAGATGATGGATGGGTTCTGCAGAAAGTGTTTGTTTTTCTCTCAAAGCTGGCTGCAGCTCGTCATCCAAAATTATAGTATAATACTACACATTTCAAGTCTGGCCTGGGATACTGCATGCATCAGAATAACATTGCAATCATATACAAGAATAACTGTGTATGGTTTGAAATTTTAACTTTAATGGTGACTTGCAACAATGCTACTTGTTCAAATGCCATTTCAATTGTGGCTTGTATGATCTTGCCCTTGTCTCATTCAGTATAATGATAACAGTTTAATAAAGCCCCCTCCTTCATGCTTATAGCATTGAAAGTAAGTACAAGCAGAGTAATTGATAACATTGCCATTTTTGCATTTCACACTGAAGATATACAGAACCCTTCTTTGCTCTTAATCTGGTGAACCTTGGGTTGGGCCATGGATCACAGACTTCATCTCCATCTTTCCATCACTCCTCTGTTACATTGTTAAATCTTTTTCTGAGGTCTTCAGCTATCTTGTCCATCCACTTCTTCCTTTCATCTTCTCCAATACCAACTTTGGTATTCCATTCTCTTGATGTGTCCAAATCATCTCTCTAATTTAGTCTATTTCCGCAAATTTTCCATTTCTGTTCTTTCCTTTATTTCTTCATTCCTTATCCTGTCTCTCTGGTCCTACTCAGCATGCTCCTGAGGAAGCATGCTGAGTAGGACCAGATGCTTCCTACTCAGGAAGCATCTGGTAGGACCACACACTGAGGAATGTCATTTTTGCTGTCTGGATCTTTGTCTTCTCTTCGTGATGTAGTCCATGCAGTTCCATAAGTCAATACAGTGGGTGATCGGTTAATGCACAGTTCGGACTTTGAACAAATCGGACCCTTTCACAAAATATTTTAATGTTTGGACAACGAACACCTCACAGAACAAACACAAGAAGTGCCATAAAATAACCAATACCGTTTGGTTTTCCCTTGTCTTCAGGTAACAATTCAAAACCTTTTGGAGCACAGTAAATGTTGACCTAAATACCGATCAAATAGTATTCCTCCAAAGTTTGAAACTCTCCCTTGTAATTTCGGCCGTTTATTTTTCTGACAGAAACAATTCTTGTATAGTATTTGCAAGACTGTCAGGCAGGGACTGGTTAATTACTTCTGAAAAATCCTTAAGAAGAGAGAAAAGCAATTTATATTAGACAGATTCTTTAACCACCACAAACAGAAAAACATGACTAATAAAAATGCAAGACTGTGTATATATGTGTTTTTATTATTACATTTATCTACATAGTAAGAAAGTATATATTTTTTATTTTTTGGAGTTTCCAGAACGATTTGATCAAATTCCCATAAAAGCCTATGGTAAATAGATAATCTGTTAACAAACAATTCGGATAGTGAACAAAGTCTTGGAATGGATTATGTTTGTTAACCAATCATCCATTGTATTCAGACAAAGTATAATTGATAAAGAGCTCCTTTACATTTAAGTGGCACTTCTTCCTTTTTCCAGATCAAAGTTCTCATTCTCTGGTAGTAGCCATCAGCTTGCTATATTCTTTTACTTATTTCTTTGTTTAATTTCCATCATTTGATATTTTTGTTTCCATGTATCTAAAGCTGTCAACATTCTCCAGTAAGTCTTCATTCAATTTGAATTTTTCCCTCTCTTTTCCTGAGTACTCCTTCACATCAAAACTGTCTTACTTTTCTCTTGGCTTATCTTCAGTCCTCTTTCCTCTAGCTCCCTGTTCCACATATCTGGTTGATTTTGGACTTTTGTCTCATCAGTACTATGTCATCTGTTGTATGCAACAACTCTGTCTCTTGGTCTAACTCGTGAATTATTTGTGTCAATCTGTTTCTAGTAACGTGGAAATAGCATTTACTTGTTCTTCACTTGCACAGGGATGATCTGGATGATGCTTAACTTTTGTATTTTTTGTGTTCCCTGTTGAAAACGTTTACCTATCTTGCTATTGCTGTATAATGTATATGGTAATGCAGATTCTCCACTAGCTTCTGAATCCTTTTGTGACTCTGTTGTGCAATATAACCTTTGGCACTTCAATCTTTATCCAACTTTGCTGCTCAAATTTCAAGAACATCATGATAGACCTTGCTCCCATTATCACTGTGCAGGCATATGGAGGTGGATGGTAAAGTCCATTTGCTTTGAGGTAAGGTAGGTACAGTAGACCCCTATAACACTGTTGATAATTCTGTTTTATATGAATTCCATGTTGTACAAGTCACTTAGATTTTGCAAATATGTGTGCCAGGCTGTGAACGGCTCATATATTTGTAAAATCTAAGCGACTCGTACAACATGGAATTCATATAAAACGGAATTATCAACACTGTTATAGGGGGTCTACTGTATATAACCATTTGGTCTAGGAGTTTTAGCTGGTTGTGTTTTGTTGGATTATTATCTTACTGTTATGCTTTTAATTTCCAACATATATACTTCTGTCTTCAAGCAAATCTTATTGATGTTTATTACATCACACATTATCCACTCTTATCTAAAAACATGCAACAATTATAGATATGAGGAATTTGAAAATTATGACATCACAAAATGCATTAGAATAATGCTTAGTGTAGAAAGTGTGCAATCAAGTCAATTACGAATTAACGTTCAATAAAAATTTTATAACTTCCTTTGCTACCTAATTAAGTCACAACTGGATTTATTTCTATATACAGTGAAACATTGGGTTAAGAACAAAATTTTGAATACCGTATTTTTTTGGGGTGCCACACAGTAACTCAGTTTCTAAACATACTACTCTGCACAGCTGGCCATCGATGGTCAACTTCCTATGTTAATGAAAGTCTACGGGTCCAACTAATCGGCGACAGGGCTACAGATTAAGAACTTAGTGGTGCCGAGATTGCCTTGTGTCATTAGATGTTTCAATACAAATCATTAATAATATTGTTGTTCAAATTATTTTTCAATGCTCATGGAAGTAAGATCTTTTGCTTTTTGGTACAAGTTGCAATTGAATCTAAATGAAATTAATGAAAAACTGTGTTAATTGTCATTTACATAATGTAAACGACATTCATGAATTTAGGTTTAAAGGTGTTAAACTCAAATTAAATAACAAATTTATTAACACTGAGTAGCCATTTAATTAAAGCTAAAAATAAGTAAAACTCTGGGAGTTTTACTTATTTTCATATCAAAGCCAGAGCCTTTATACTGAAAATAAAATCAATTAATTAATTTAAATTAAAAGTGAAATCAAATCAATTGAAGCACACTATATCTGAAAGTGTAGTTGTTTATTTGCTTACTATGTGCAATGAAATGAAGTGTGGTCTACAAATTACTTCAATCTCAAGTGCTTGTCTCTAAGATAGCCTGGAGTTATATGTCTAACAATTTAAATGTTACAGGTTATTTTGTGCCTGGAAAATAAAAAACATTTTCTGGTCCCGAATAACATCTCAGCCTTCCCATCATTTATTTCCAGCTAAACTTGTTTCACAATAGCTCATGCTATTGCAAAGTTTGAAGGGCTCCGTACAGGAGCCCGATCAAGGACATTGTTATGTAAACAACAAAATATCAATTATTCTTGGGCATAGCAACTATGATGAGCTTTTTCAAAAGTATTCCTCTTGGAATTCAATTAACTTTTGTTTCTGCAAGACTTTGAAGATGTGTAGTAGTATAGTCAGTGCAACTATAGTTGACCTATGTATTGGTTTATTTTTGCATTTTTAAGGAGTGATAGAATCATTTATAAATGCCCAAATATTTTCTTGGGCTTCACTTTGTCTCGAAAAGGGATTGAGTGAGAGTGTTTAATTATATTAGCAGTATTATCTTCAGTTAAATGTTTATATTTATTAAAAATTCTTGATTATAAATTAGGACAATAGGTCTCTTGTTATTAATTTACAAACTATGGCAAACAATAGTCGTGCCAACTATATATCATTTTGAGCCGTTCACATTGCCTTTGACACTTTGACCACTTTGTTCACTGCTGTCGTGGACAGGAAAAGTGTTCTCTGTGGCTTCAACTTTACTACTGGGAATACGAAAAAGTTGCAGGATGACAAACATTAGCTATATGTTGTGTGTGGGAACTGTAAAATTTTTTGTCAAAAACTCAATTGCCGCATTAGTAGTTTCCGTGTGTACATATTTATTTTGTCATAAGCAAATGGCAAACATTTGTTTTACTAGCCATAGTCTCTAAACAAAGGGTGATGTTTATGTATAATTTTTTAAATATATATATGCTGTACTAGTAACTTCCTGACAACGGTCAAAATCAGAAAATTATTAGTACTATACCGTTGACAAGAAAAAAATCAAATGTTTTGCCTCGCTCTCATAGTTTGTATTTTTTTATTTAAATAACATTTTTATAATGTTAAAACAATGAATTATCTGTAATGTTTAACTTTTTTTTTAGATACGATTTCTTCTTGGTATCACAGTGTTCGACAAGGGACGGTCTCTCCAACACAATATAACGTCATATTTGACACTAGCGGTTTGTCTCCCGAACACATTCAAAGACTGACCTATAAACTAACTCATTTGTATTTCAATTGGCCAGTAAGTAATGTTTTATACCGCACGTTACATATTTTAATAATTTTTAACACGTTACTTAGAATTACAACTTGAAAAAATTTGGATAAATAAGCAAAACAGCCAGAATTAGCAAAGCAAAATTTGATTTTGATTAAATTTGAATATACCTTAAATGTTACTAAAAGCGATATTTATTTCATTGTGATTTTGCTGCATCATAAATTCTCCCTTCAATACGAGAACAGTTTAGGAGTTAAAATCATTTCCATTTGCTGATTTTTTTGAAATACTATTAAAATATTGTATTTTTTTGAAATCTTAATATGCAGTGTTGGGCAATAAAAAAGAGGGGAAAGGAAAGCTTTCTCTTTGGATACTAAAATGTAAAATTTTTAGATTAAACTTCCTACAGGAAAATTTTTTATAAGTAAGCATTTTTACTTTCCTGGCTGTTTTATATATAACAGAAGAAAAGTATGGCAATCGGGCATAAAATGACCATTTTAGATTTTTACACTTTTTAACTTAGGACATCGAAAAACATCGAAATGAAAAAAAAATTGGGGGTAATTTATATACGGGCGAATGTTAGTTTGTGGGTGGGGGCACAATTTTGTTTACCCTGTTTGAAGCTTAAATTAATAAGCCCTTTTTTTATCGGAACTTTCTCTAATTTTACAGGGAGGTTTGTTTATTAGGGAATTGATGCTATTAAATATGTTTTGGGAAAGTCGAGCAACTCCTTTCATCAAACAATAAACCAGCAAGAGAACCATTAAGAAGAGCGAAGTTACTATTAGAAAATGTTTTGTTTCTCACACAAAATTAAGTACTAAGTTGTTACCACAAATAAAATATATTTTAAAAACAAATGCCACCAATAACGTAGAAAATAACTGTCAAGAAAGAATACCAGTATACGGAAATGCCATAGTCAGATTAACAGTTGGGACCGATTGCATCTGCTCGGTTGAACAAAATTTGCAAATTTTTTGCAAGTAAATGTTGGCTAGTGAGATTTCTTTAAAGTTATCCACTTTGTAATATAGAGATTAAAGGTATAATTGTATCTACAGGTGAGCCGCTGCCAAAGAATTTGCTTTAAAATTTAAGTGATGGAGTTTGGAATGGAAACAAAACTAGTCTTTCTTTTCTTTTTTCTTCTGAAAATGCCAGCTAGAATCAATGTAGCAAAATCACTGAAAATCGTTAGGGGATGGAAGGTGTCCGAGTACACCGCTAGTTTTTTAAATGGCAAACAAAAATGCCCGAGTGAGAACCAAAATTTTTACCAATTAGTTTGATAAATGTTTTATTTCCAACATGAGATGTTTTTCCTTTCTAATTAAACTCAACCGATCGAGTTCTATTGTTAGTCTTCTGGTCATCCAAATGCGCAAGGATTTTGATTTTGCTTTTGCACGATTTCCTCAAGTGCGCGAGGCCAGACAGAGAAGCCTAAGCTTAAAGGAGGATGCACACACGCGACATTGCAACGAAAAGCAGTGTGACACGCAAGCATTCAGTATTTAAGATGGTGAACGATACCGACACTGCCCTTATCCACGTGTTTATAAATTTTTTTGTACGGCTCGCTTTATTTAGCTAGAAAATTTTGGATTAAAGACATTTTCTTGGATGGAGAAAGAACTGGTGTACAAAATACGCTTATCCTCTTTATTCCGATTGTGGTTATCTCGCTTAACCGCGTCCAACTTTTCGCCATTAAAACCACGTGATTGTATTTTCTCACGCCACTACCGGACGAATTGTTATTGGCCGCAAAAGACAGAATTCAACCAACTTCTGCCACGAAAAAAGTGACGTCGTTCTGCCGCGTGTGTGCATCCGGGTTAATGATTCGTGTTTAATGTTAAAGAATGTGCAATTTTTACGTAATTTGACATTTAAAATACTTTACCTTTTTGTTCTTTTTCATTTGGAATATTCTGTTGCTTCGTTAGCTTCCAAAGTCTCTCGTTTAAGAACCTTGAACAAAACAATTTAATATAATATCGTTGAAATTTGTAAACGATTATCCACTTTTAACAAAGATCAATTATGAATTTTGTGAGTAAATTGCTGCCACAGTTTTATGTAAGTGGATAATCAAATTACAAGTAGATTATATTAAGCTTTTATAAAATTGTTAAAAATTTATATATTTTTTTAAAAAAATATGTACTTAACATACCTTTATTTTTATAGGGAACAATCAGAGTTCCGGCTCCTTGCCGATACGCGCATAAGCTGGCCTTCCTTTCGGGGCAGTCGCTTCATAAGGATCACGCCGAACAGTTGGCAGATACATTGTTTTACTTGTGAACATTTTTTATCTGTTTTAACACAATCCTATGCTTATATGCCTATATATGACTTATATGTTTAACTTAAGCAAAGATAAAGATAATAACATTCTTTACATCTTTTTGCAAATACTATTTTTTTATAATCAAGACATTTCATTCCGTAAATCCATATAAAAGATTTGAAAACAAAAGCATGTTACCTGCTTTGATTTTTGCTTCAGTGTTTTCATTTTTGTTTTTACTGTGGCTTATAGATTTCAAGTAGAATAAATCACATCTATTTGTACATTTGAAGTTTTGTACTTGTAATTCTGTGCCAAGAATTGTATTTCATTTACGAAATACAATTTTTATCCTGTAATAAATAATAACGTGTTATATTTTGGACCTTTTTCTTTGGCAATTGTATACATTTTATATGAAAACCGAGTAGTCTTTATCGAACTGTCTGCCATATAATCATAGTATTTCTCTTAATAAGAGGTAAATATTAATTAAGTAGTCAAAAATTTTAAATAGTTTTATTAAATTTGGATTCGTATAATTTTCGTTCTGTAGCATATCAGAAAAATACTAAAATAAAATAGAAAATATTTTGTATCCAACATATCATTTTAACTGAATCATCTATGTTCGGAACATTTTAAGTAATACAGGTAAATTCGAACAACAGATCGTTAACAACAGTTTAATTTGCGTAAACTTAAATGTGAGAAATTATCAATGTGATAAATAAATAAAATACAATAAACAGTGAAAATTAGTATTACTGTAAACCAAATTGAATAAAAATAATCACAATACATTTTACTCTCATACTTTTTATTTATAAAAATAAGAATTACAATTTACGAGTAAAATTCAAATTCTTTGGATACAGTTTTTAAATGCACTCATCTAGATTATATGATATAGATCTATGTTTATATATATTTGTAATAAAAATTACCCCAACGTTCAGGTTATTTTATATCATACAACATACATCTTTTTTCTACATACATTCTTATACCTGATATTGGGGTCAATATAACATCCCATGAAGTAATAATTTTATCCTGACAATCCAAAGAGTAAACTTTAAAATTACGAAGAAGATTTGCCAAAACCATTTTCATTTTAATCATGGCGAGTTTATTTCCTGTAAATTCGAATAATTTTAATAAAATCATTTTATTGTTTTTGTAATTATTCACTAATCACTTACCGAGACAATTTCGTGGACCGGCGGAAAATGCCAGAAATGCATAAGGATGAAGATTTTTATAGTTTTCAGGTAAGAAACGGTCAGGATCAAACACTTCGGGATTTTCGTAAACAGAAGGATTATGATGGATGCCATAGATACTGATGACAAGAGTCGAATTTGCAGACAACACGTAATTACCTGTTTGAATGACAACAATTTGATACTTAAAGTTAATAGAAAAGCAAATTAGAATTTTTCAAAAATTACCTATTTTCATTTTTGAAGGATTTTTTCTTGCAATAAAAGGAGCGGGAGGATAGATTCTCATCGACTCCTGAAAATTGTAACATATAAAACTAATCTTTAGGTGTACTTAAAAAAATTAAGAAGTTACCTTAATTACGCATTCTAAGTACGTCATTTTCGTCAAGTCATCGATAGTAATATCATCATCGCTATTCATATCATTTTTGAAAATTTCTTGCAATTCTAGATATACCTTCTCTTGTATTTCGTGGAATCTTCCCAGGAAATAAAGAGTCCATGATATAGCGTGGGCGGTTGTATCGTAACCCTGATATTAAAATACGTTGAAAAGACATGTAAAATTGCTTTCTATATAATTTACATTTGCAGTAAAATAAATACTGTGTAATAAACAGATAAAATTAGGATATGACATGCGTGAATGCCGCGCTACTTCCATATTCATATCATACAACTTGAAATGCTATATATGTACGGCTTTGCAAACTTTATAATCCACAACTACATTTCTTGAAGCAAGCAGTTCACATAATTCTTCGTAATATTTACGATAAAATATCAGTAATCTGATTTCGAAAGTTTTCGGTACAGTACATAGCAGCATAGATGAAAATTCGACGTAAATTGAGAAAGATTACAAAAAAAAATTATTAAAATTTATAAATAATTCATTATAACAATTCTGTTTATAATTTTAACACGGTTAACAGAATAGAATGCTATAGATGTACGGCTTTTCAAACGAATGAAACTAAATTCTTTAATACTAAAAATTCTTTTTTCTCTTATTTGGTATTATTAGATTATTTCTATGAACAACATGTCTTCGATCGATGGAAAATTAACGTTAAATTGTCCACAAACTGTGTAATTAGTCGAAAGAAAAAGCTAAAAGCATCGTCCAGTTCGAGTTGTCTTGACTTACCACAACCCTTAAATGTCGTAATGTAACAACGTATATTTACGACATTTTCGGTTATTCTGTAATTATGGACTTGAATTATTTCGGATTACAAAATATTTCGGTCATCATTTCAGACATTACTTGCTTTGAATACTTTCAATTGTGTTTATAAAATGAATTTGATTAATTAATACTCGAAAAGATAATTTGATAACAGAGAATAACCCACAGAACCGAGTCACAAATTTACAAACTACTATTTTACATAATCATTAGAGAAACTGAAATCGATATGTAGTCCAAAAAGTAAGGTACGACTATCCTTTTCCACCCGAATTTCGTTTTTTAATAATGCATAATAATCATAATAATAATGTTTAAAAATAAGTAGATACAGATTTTTAATTTTTCAAAATTATATCTTTCCTGCGTGTATATAAATACACAAAATATACAGTAATTAATAAATCTTTTGTTTTGTATCAAAAATTTTTTCTGTGAGATTTCACACTAAAAATATAAAAGTAAAAAAGTTAAATTTCAAAACTATAGAATTTTAAATGTTAAAAAATTATAAATTAATCCGAAATGACAAATATTATTTACTATAATAAATAATTATGAATGAAATGTAATGATTTCACAAACATCTTAAATTAAATAGAATTTCCAATTACAAGAAAGTAATTATGATTATTTTTAAAATAGGTTTTACGTTATACTTCAATTATAATTTATGTCGCCAAGTTAATTTTTTGCGGAATTACTTATATTTCAATACATTGTTTAGAAAAACATTACTTTGGAATAATGAAAATAGTATCATTGAAATATATGCGTGCACGATTATATAATTATTTCCGATTATACTTTTAATAAATTCTGCCTACCGCGAAAATAGCGCCTTCCATGTCTCTGATAATGTCTTTTTCTGACATTAAACCTTGTTTGACATGCAGATCCAACAGGGAATCGATAATACGCTGTTTTGTTTTGATCTTTGGTTCTTCTTCATTACGTGTTTCTTTTTCTAAGGAATGTTGCTGCCGCATTTTTTTCACGAAGTTTTCTTTTTTTCTCTTGAACACCTAGGCATTAAATTAAATCGTTAATTACTTAAATCAAAACAAAACTTCTATTAGCAAGTTGAGTTTACCTTTTCGTCGAAACGATGAATTATTTCAATGTCAGTCTTGTAATTTTTTCCCATTTTACTCATGAAGAAAATTGGGGAAAGCCAGTACATTGGATTTACTAACCATGCGGGAAAAGTTTTCAGAATTCTAAATTTTAATATAAATTATTTTTATATCAAAAGTTAATTAATGTAAATTTAATTCTTGGATAAGAAATAAAGTACTGTCAACTATTAAATTTACATAAAATTTAACATTATAAGTAGTAATAATTTAGGCCATACTGCGCACAAAATTAATTTTCAAATAAAAATTGATTAGCACTGATCACAAATTTGAGTTAAATTAATTTTATTTTAACAATAAGTTTAATATACTTTTTTTAATTAGTAAATTTATTATAAAATTAAATTGTACTAATTTGTAATAATAATTTTAAGCAGTAATCACAAATGTTAATGAAATTAATTATCAAATGTTTTTAACAATATTACAAATTAATTTAATTCAAATTTGTGATCAGTACCAATCAATTTTTATTTAGAAAATTAATTTAGTGATCAGTGTGGGCTAAACATTTTATTACTGTAATATACCTCATGTGAAAAACATTACAGAAATTTCTGAAATTGCAATAATTTAAAATAAATAAAATTTAATTTAAAATCATAAATTTCTGTAAAAGTTTTTCTTGTTTATGTCTTTAAAAAATGCAAAAATGGAAATTTTGTAATTATTTCATATCGTAATTAATTTATTTTTGAGTAATGTTAGAAATAAGTTGATAGACTGTATATTTTTATATTGTGATTAAAAGTTTAAACGTTATGTTTTCGCTATCATAAAGACTTTTCCTATAGTACTGAGGCAACTGGAGAAAGACACAAAGATGGATGAATAGTAGTAATTTATTGCGATAACGATATGCTTTGCGGAAAGTTGACCTGTCAAACTTTTGTCGTTCAACTTACAAATTGTCTCTCCTGTGTACGAAATACGTGAAGTTTACGTTTAAAACATTATAGCTGATAAGTAAATTAATTTGAAAATCTATCATACGTACTGTACTTAATGAACACGTTGTATTCGTTTAGAATCTCGATACTTCTCTCTATCCATTGTTCTAACAACTTTTGATTACCATCAGCACGTATAGCAAACACACTTCATTTATAATATACAAACTTATAATATTCGGTTAATTGATAAACAATGAAAATTTGGATTATTTCGTATTGTTTCTACCGACATTAACACGAACATTACAAAACTTTCATCAGATAAAAAGTGACATTATATTATTTAACATAGATAATGAAGAAATATATCTGGAACGAAATTTTCCTTACCTGTGTATTGCAGACACATATTCTTGATCGTTCGTAGTCTGAGAATGTAGAGAAACTCCTACTGCTATGTCTACACAGAAATAATTTGATATTTATATTTTTTAGATAAATAAATATACTCCGTTTGAAAATAATGTTCGTTTTCGTGAACGTTTTCAGAACAGAGTACTTTTACTAAAAGAAAACAGTACTAAACGAAACAAAAAATAATTCGTGTAGTCGTGAAAAATTGGTTATACTCAGCTATAGTTTTAACTACTGTCGCTAGAAAAAGACAGTGTTAATAAAAACGGTAGTCACATAAAAAAAGTAAGTCATCCTGTGTGTTAAAATTTTACACGACTAAGACCGTAATTACCGGGAAACACGTAAGTGTTAGAAAAAGAAAACTTTTTAAATTTTTGCCTTTGTTCATTGTTAATTTCGATAAAAAAAATGTTCAGTAGCTTACTTTTTTTTGCAGTGACATATATATGTATATATACTATTTTTTAAAATTCATTTCATACTTTTTCGACGTAATGAGCAATAAGTATG